CTCAGACAAAGGCTGGCCTGTCCCACAGTTTCGTCTACGACAAGGAAGGACTCGACAGGGTGGACCTCATGACCACTGATAGATTGCTGGGTAGGGTATCCACCTATCCATCTATCCACCAATTCATCCATTCATTCACCCATGGTTTGATTTACTCATCTATCTACCCACCCCTTGGTTAATTCAGCCATTCACCCACTCCTTCATCCATCCATCCATCCATCCATCCATCCATCTGTCGTCGTCTGTACAGATGATTGTCTTGGACAGGTGACTGCTAGTGCTGGTTTGGCTGCTTTATTTTGTAGATCTGTTAAATCATCATTGCTAGAAAGTAGCAGATCCGAAACACACATCAGTGATCATGGTTTGCTTCTCATTCCTCTGTTCAGAAACCCTTTAATTCCTATATTACTGACCTGTCTTTCCTCGACAGCAATCTGTTCAAGTTCTCTGAGTAACTAGTCTCTGGTCTTCCCCTGCCTAGTCGTCCTTCCATATACTGCTGTAGAATAAACAGCGATCATACAATCTAATTATATTTGATATCGTGTTATAGTTTTTTGTCTTTAGGCACTTGCAACACAATTATAGGTTATATAAGTGCTGATTAGGTAAGATTAGAATTGTCACTAGAGAGTAATGTACACAGAATATTATAAGGAGTAGAGATAAAGAAGATAATATTATATTGGATAGGGAAGAAGGAGCAAATCACACCAGAGCGCCAGTCAACCTCCCACTGATAAGTTTTGAAATTCTATCTATTTACTATAGGTTTGTTCAACAACACCCACATGGCATACGAGGTAGACCGTGACCCAAGTAAAGAACCGTCCATCGCTGAAATGACGGAGAAAGCCATACAGATTCTCAGGAAGAACGAGAAAGGATTCTTTCTTTTAGTTGAAGGTGAGGGCTGGGGAACGGTAGGTGTGGTGATGGCGGTTGTGGTGGTGAGTGTGATGGCTGCTACTGTTGTTACTGTTGTTGTTGTTGTTGTTGTTGTTGTTGTTGTTGTTGTGGTAGTAGTTCTTTTTGTTGTTTTTGTTGCTGTGGTTACTGATGATGATGAGGAT